TTGGTGATTTCATGTTGTATGATCTTTGAATAGCATTTCGGGAGAACATTGCGCTTAAAAAGGAAACCACCCAAAGCTCAACTTATTCGAGGAATGCAGCCACACGAAACTGGATGAAACAGATTATTGGTGGGCCGTAGACCTTGGACAGGAGTATACCATTAATATTATAACAATGTATGGTAGAGTTGACTGCTGTGGTAAGTGATATTTGAATGGTGTTATTCTAATGTTTACCGGTTATTTTAATTTTTAAAAGTTGGGACTTTTTTTTATGAATTTGTTAGCCCACGCTGATTTGCCCCAATTTTTTTTTACAGCGGATCAGCGGATCTATGTAGAGCGTTTTTGGGATCTTATTCGCAGAGGTAGCGAACTATTTTATTTAAAAGTTTACTTTTTATGATATATGTTTTTATATCTAAATTAATTATTTAAATAATTAATGACATCAAAACTCGTATGAGATATAATCAAAAGCCAATTGTTCCGGTTGAACTTTTTCAATGCCATACAACCTAATGCAAAATCTAGAATCTAGAATACCACACCAAACTTTGACCTTGACCTTAATCTCGAGGTCAAAAAGCACGGATCTCAAATCCAATGACCTTTGGTCTCTGCTATATATGGTTAATAAGTAATATCAACATACAACTAATTTTAAACATTATAGAGTCGAGAACTCTCATAAATTGTCAACGTACCCTTTCAACTAAAACTTGTAATTAACTACCAATTTATTAAAAAATATTCTGTCGATGTCTTAAACAAACGAGTTCTGCAGTGTAAGTTAAAAAATATGAACATGACCTGAATCCTATTCTTCTTACTTACAGTTTGTTTGTTTCAATTACATACATGTATCCATGATATGTCAAATACATAAACGGAAATAACTCTCACAATGGTTTGTAGAAAGTAGTTGTATGATTTAGCTTCTGGATAAATCACCCAAAGGTTTCAAGGCAATAGACTCCTACTCCCAAAGGGCCTTTTAAAATTCTTTCGTTAACTCGGAATGTCTCATAGTTGTTTATAAAACCATGTGGAATGAAACTGGGAATATGTTTTCTCCATCTTAATATACAAGGTATTGTCCCGCAATTAATTGAATCACTTAGAATTACAAAATAATTGAAGCTCTTTGTTAAAACGAGAAGGATGTACTTGTAAGTGAGCACTTGCAAGTTGAAAACAATTATATTCCCCGGATATCAATAACTTCAAGAGAATATGAAAGCAACCTGATTGTCATCCATCCACTATCACCCTTTGATTTCCATCTCTCAAATATATAACCGATAATTACGGGTTCCTTAGGTGGATCAGAATATGCTTATACCCTCCCGAAACACCTAGGATCCCTTTCTTTTTTTTGGGTAGGTTCGTGGTGGTCAGTCTTTGGTTTTTTATGTTGTGTGTTGTATATTGTTATTTGTCTCTTGGCACTTTTCTTTTTTTTGCCATGGCGTTGTCAGTTTATTTTCGACTTGAATGTCCATTTTTGTATCATTCGCCTTTTTTTAAGGTTAATTACGAAGTTGTAACTGTTTATTTTATCTCTATCTGATTCATCAAATTCCCCTTCTAACAAAATCTGTAAGACGCGATAGGAAAACCGTTCTTAGTTTAATACAAATGTGTTTGATTAGGTCTTTCCACTTTTCTGGGTTTTTTCCTCCGCCACTTTTTGATGTTGAGATTTTTTTTGTTTCGCAAGATATCGAAAAGATTTTTTGTACATGATATCAAATAATGAATACACTTTCGTAGTAACCTCTGTGTAACAGTACGCTTTCTCCTGTGAGAGTTATATCCATGTACACTGTTTTCTTCCTGTCACTCCTTCGCAACCGTAAAAGAAATACACAATTTTTTTTTCCAAATTGCTCGTTATATCCTCAGGTTGTTTTGTTAATTTTTGTCCGAAGCGATACGGAGATTCTATATGAGAGTTATTTCCCCTTCTGTATTTAACAAAGTGATATATAAATGTTAGTGATGAACTATAAGTTATAGAGACCTAGGATATTTTGATTTGATGTCCTTGGCCCACCAAAAGAAATTTGAGGTCAAGGTCATTATCTAAAAGTTTACTTATGATTGTTTTCGCTTTTCCTCACAAATGGTAATAAATAATGACAAAAAAGTTACCAAATTGTTTGTTGCGACATGTCGTGACTTGAAAAGTTTGGTAGAAAGAGTATCGTCCCTTTAAATAGGAGTTTGTTCCTCTGGAAAGTTTAAAATAAGTTGCATGGCGATATAACTCATGACGCATACATAGTAGAGACCTATGGTTTATTGATTTGAGATCCTCCCTTTATGGCCTTAAAATTGAGATCAAGGTCAAATGAAAATTTGACGTTCTAGATTTTGACCTTTGCTATAATTTCATACTGGTACATAATAAAGCCATAGGATTTTTTGCATTAGGTTTGGAGACTTTTTACTTTGAAAAATGTCAACCGAAAGTGACCTTGAGTCAACCGGAAGTAGCAATTTTTGCACTTCTTTCATGGAAAAGTACGTGGAACATATATTTTTTTCAATCGACATTCATAAACCTATCATTTGAGACAAGAGGTAAACTTATGTTAACCGGAAGTAGCAAATTATCTCTCTTAATTCCAGCAATAGTATATCGAAACCATATATTTTTGGAATCAGTGTGAAAAAAAACTATGATTTGACGCCAATAGTAACATTGTGTAAACCAGATGTGACTTCTTATCAATGATTTTGAAATCAATAGCGGAAAGGCTTTCAATTGTTTTCTGAACAATTGGTCTTTAATTCTATTGTCGTTTTGTTGGATAGAGGAAAAAATTACTGTTATTTGAAAACAAAAGAAATTCGGTAAACTAAAAAGTAAAATAATAGTACATCCTTTATATCTTTAAGGTAAGGTATCGGAAAGAACCATTAGATAATAAAATACCATTTTCCTTGCATGTTTTAAATAATTTATTTTTTTATTTTTTATTTATTTAAAAGTATTGCCCAGATGTCAAAACATAACCAGTGAACATCCGTAATACTGATAAAAAATATAATTATACAAAAATAAATATGGCAAAATTTACTACTTAGCTATTACCAGTATGTGTAAAAATATGTAAGTGTTCGGTAAACAGGAAGATGTTGAGTGGTGAATCTGAAAACGTACCAGACGGTGTAGCTCGCTCATATAAACCTTGAAACCAAAATTCAGAAAGCCTTGATGTGTAGTTCCAGAGAAAAAAGCGACGAAAATATGGGAAAATTTACTACTTGGCTATTAAGTGTTAAATTATGTAAGTTTGCGGTGAACATGAAGTTGTTGAGTGATGAATCTGAAAATGTATCACACGGTGTAGCTCGCTCATATAAACCATGAAAGCAAATTTGAGAAAGCCTTGATGTGTAGTTCCTGAGAAAAGTGCGACGAAAATTTACTACTTGGCTATTATGTGTAAAAATATGTAAGTGTTCAGTAAACAAGAAGTTGTTGAATGATGAATCTGAAAATGTATCACACGGTGTAGCTCGCTCATATAAACCTTGAAACCAAATTTCAGAAAACCTTGATGTGTAGTTTCTGAGAAAAATGCGACGAAAATTTACAACTTGGCTATTATGTGTTAAATTATGTAAGTTTTCGGTAAACAGGAAGTTGTTAAGTGATGAATCTGAAAATGTATCACACGGTGTAGCCCGCTCATATAATCCTTGAAACCAAATTTCAGAAAGCCTTGATGTGTAGTTCCTGAGAAAAGTGCGACGAAAATTTAATACTTGGCTATTAAGTATAAAAATATGCAAGTGTTCGGTAAACAGGAAGTTGTTGAGTGATGAATCTTAAAATGTATCACACGGTATAGCTCACTCATATAAACCTTGATACCAAATTTCAGAAAGCCTTGATGGGACTTACTGACGGACGGACTGACAGACAGACAGAGGTAAAACAGTATACCCCCCCCCTTTTTTCAAAGCGGGGGTATAAAAAAGATGCATTAAAATGTTTGTTACATTGGTGTTAGTCATGCATCAACTGCAACACTATCATAGGACTTGAGTCTATATTTTCTAGAATAGGGATTATATTTTAAATCGAAATACACCTATCAACTGAAATGACTCAAAAAGCAATAGCCATTTATAATTGTCATAGCATACACATTTTCATACAATTTAATTTAAATTAACTTTAATTCCAGTCCTTTGTTATTTCATACAACTCAGCTACTAGATGTTGAATATTCATGTATTGTTTATTTACTTTTTACACATCTTTGATTTGATATGTGAATATCCAATAGCCTGCATTTTGTAAATGAGTATACTTGTGTTACATCTCCAGTACTTTATTTAAATAAACTTTTACAATTGATTTTAACTTTAAATTTTGAATTATTTTACATTGTCCATATAAGTTCTGTGTGACCGATTTAAAAATAAATACCTTAGAATAATTTACCTGTGACGAAGAAATAATGAACTGTTTACATAGGAAGCCATAGCAGGAAAAATGGCTCAAGATATTATAAAATGCCAATTGTGTGATGCATCAAAAAACGTGAAATGGAAATGTGTTGATTGCAGTCTCCACCTCTGTGATGAATGCAAAACAAAAAGACACTCAAAATTTAAAGGATCTGAGGATCATGTCATTTTCCAGATAAACCAACTTGGGACATCAGTCGTAACAGATGCCATGCGTATGTTGGATCTCAAAAACATTCAGTGTTCATTTCACGGCGAGAAGTGCTCTCTTTATTGTGATGATTGTAACAGACCTGTATGCTCCTTGTGTGTCCTTGAGAGACATCAACATCACCAACTTGTTAAAATTGATGAAGCTTTCAACCAAGAGCTGACAAAACTGAAGGATTTAAAAGAGAAAATTGAAAACGACCTTCTTCCATTTTATCGTGAAAATATCAAGGTTATGAACAGGATTCTAAACAAAGGACTTGATACTTATGAAGAACAGAAGCAGAAAATACTTCATAATGAAAAGAGGAACAAGAGATAAGGCTACACTGGAGGCAATTATTGAACTTGATAAACGCTGGACACCAAAAAATGAGGCTGTACTTACAGAACTACAAAGATTACAGATGGCCGAAATGGATTTAAAGGAAAGACAAAGTGAAATAAACAATGCTATGCAATTACGTCAAGCAACATCTGTTTTTCAAACATTTCCACGTGTACAAAAGAATCTACCAGTCAAATCAGAAATCCCAAGGCATTTATTTAATTTTCCGTCAGAGAAAACTCCTGATTCAGAATCAACTGTAAAAACTCCCGAACTGAAGATCGTAAACACTTATAAGTATGCATCATTTTTTATCTCTGATCTAAAAGTGCTTAAAAATGGTACATTTGTGATACAAGACAATGCAAAAATAAAGTACTTAGTAGTGGAAAATTCTGAACTGAAACAGATTTGTACAATTGGCATAGAAGAAATGCAACCTGGATGTAATGACATGACAGTAACTGATGATTGCACGGTCTATCTATCAGAGTGTAGAGGGCATGATGTAATGTGTGTGAAGAAAGGCATGAAGCTAAAAAGATTTGCAACAATAGCCCATGAACCCCACGGTCTCCATGCAAAGGATAATGAAACATTACTTGTTGGTTTTATTTCTGGTGTCATTATATTTAATTTACAAGGGAGACAACTTCAAAAGTTTGAAATGGACACATTCTTGTGCCCTGAAAAATTGACGACAAACTTGAATGGCGATATTTGTATAATTGATCGTAGCGTTGGCGATCCAGACTACATGTATGGAAAGATTGTTGTACTCGGTTCAAAGGGCGAGTTGAAGTGGACTTACAGTGGTCATGGCATTGAAAATAGTTCCGAGGATGAATTTTCACCCTGCTGTATTGTCACTACAGAAAAAGGAAATATTCTTACATCAGAAAGTAACACCATTCATATGCTATCAAAAGACGGAAAGTTTATCAGAAGTTTTGAAGAAAAACAGGGTATTCCTTCCTCAAATATTGTAGCGGTTAACAACAATGGACAATTAATCCTTGTTGAAATGAGTGGAGAGATTTCTAAAATACATATAGTTGACTTAATTAACATTTAAAGAATTCTTTGTATGAGTGTTATCATGTAGATTTTAAACTTGTTAATTATCTTAAATTGAAATATAACGTAATCATCAATTACAAATCCTCAGCCCTCAGTAACTTATATATCCCCAGCCCTCAGTAACTTATATATCCAAGGCCGTAGCGCATGTCCAAATCAACTGAGGCAAATCGCCGAGCGGAGCGAGTCGAAATTTTTTTAGGGGGGTTCGGGTGCCTGAAACGGGAGAAGCTTATTTCAGCATTACTATGGGAGAGGTCAATGTATTTATAATAAAAAACAAAAAAAATATAACAGAAATGCGTTTTTTTTTATTAGCTAGCCTAGTAAGTAACAAAACAAGTTTCAATATTAAAGTTAATCTCTGTTGGTCAACCAAAACTTTCCGATTCTCCTGTGACCTGTACTATCGAAAAGCTTCAACACACGTTCTTTGTCAACTGTATCATTCCTATGCACATGGAGCATGGCAAGCCCACAAAGCCTGTCACCACCCATTGTAGCCCGTTCCCAGGTTTTCAAACGCCTTAAACTTGAAAACGATCTCTCACAACAGACTGATGTGACAGGCAGAGTTAAAAGTACTTGTAATATTATGAAAACATTTGGGTATAAGTCTTTGTTAGCTAGCTTAATTGCTGTCTGGAGGCTTCCTTCATCTAGCATTGCTACTGTCTTTCTTACCCACCTTTCAAGTTCACATGTTAACTCTTCCTTGTTAGTTACGTCCGGAAATGCTTGGAAAAGGGGTTCAATTAAGTCCGGTGTTAACTTGCCTACATTTTTTGGAATAAGGTAATATCCTAACATTTGATTTTTTATCTCACCAGGAAACCGGCGTTGCATTTCACTAATGACGTGATCCAAAAATGGGAAAAATAAATTAATTCGCCAATGCTGCACTGCAGTAGAGGCAGTTGCTGGGTTCTCCCTATGAACTTGACGCCCAACTCGCCTACGTGGCATTAAGTCTATTTCAATAGCATCTGCTATGACAGTACCTCGCATGAAAAGTTCTGAAAAAATTTCCTCTGTTCTCTTTTCCTGTCATAATTCCAGAAGAATTTTTGATTCCTCAAAAGCATCCACCATGTTGCAGTCAGTCTTTTGAAGGAACAATGTTAGTGGCTTAAGAATGCTCAAGACAAATTGGGCCACTAACACGGCAACAATGCATTCGGGGTCTTCCAGGTAGCGCCGATAACCACTTGCATTTGTCCTAGCATCACTTGTGCTTACATTTTCAATTTTAGTCAGAGCAGCATGAACAGATTTGTAGTTTGCAAGAAGTGACGAAACCGTGTCTTCTCTTGCTGTCCACCTTGTTTCGCATAAACGCTTCACCGAAACATCTGTTCCCTTTTTCAAAAGTTTTATGTGACATCTTCTTCCTCATTTTGTTAACCTTCAAGCATATCATCTACTAATTTTGTATTGCCTGTAAATGAGTTTAGAATGGTTTTACGCTTATGGGATGCACACAAGAACCATGTCATTTGGCCGACTGATGACATCAAATTCCGTATCTGGCGCACATCCTTGCAACTTTGCGTCACCACAAGGTTAAGGTTGTGCGACTTGCAGTGAACGAAAGGTGCATCTGGACATTGTTCACGTATGCGCTGTTGTACACCTGATACATGTCCACTCATGACAGAGGCTCCATCGTACCCTTGTCCACGCAGTTTCTGCAATGGTAGTCCCCATTTTTCTAGGTTATTAACAATTGCATTAGCAATATGTTCAGCGTCAACTTCCTTAGGTTCAACAAATCCTAAAAAATCCTCTCGTACCTCACAAGTGTCACTATCAACGTATCTGATACAAAGCGATAGTTGCTCTGTCACGGAAACATCCGTAGTTTCATCGGCCATTATGGAATAAAAGCCTGATGCTTTACATTTTTGCACAATTCGTTCTCTTATTTCAAGTTCACAACATTGTATCAATTCGTTCTGAATCTGTGGTGATATGTAGGTCATAGACTTGTGTGCTGTTTCGAGATGATCTATCAAAGTTAGATTTCCAATTGATGAAAAATTGAAAGTTTCCGTCTTCCTGGTGAGCTATTTTATCCCAATTTCCCCTTAATGCGATGTTCCTCTGCCCTAACACGATTATCACATCAATTATGGAAAGAAGTATATCATGATTTCTCTTGACCTTGTCTTCATATGCTTTGCTTGATGATGAACATATACTAGGTTTCTTGCCTTCGCATACAGAGATAAAGTTTTTAGCCTTCTCAACTGCATTCTTATGATCAACTGAGTCACCATGTGATTTTAAAGTTGATCTTTTATTACCCACTGCATTTTTCCAGTCCGTGAAACCTTTACTGCTAAAAAGTCCACCTTCATCCCGAAAAACAACACAATACCTGCAATATGCAGAATCTTCCGTACAGGAATACCTTAACCATGGAAACTGGGATTCCCAAGATGGCAGATATCGTCTCCCCCCTTTTTTAGGATAAACTTTAGATATTTCGTCAGCATCTTTTAGCATTGCCAATTTTTGACCATCTGTACTATGTTGGTTTTCAATAAGAAATATAGCTGGATCAAGCCCCTTTTGGCTACTAACTGACATATGAGTGGACTTTTTACTAGTACTCGGCTCTGGTGTTTCACTTATTTCTGGATCTTGTTCACTTTGAATGGGGGAAGATATGTCTGGAGTTGTTTTTTCTGTATCAGAATGGTCATCTACAAAGAAATTGAACAAATAACCAGATGCTAGCATTATGATAACGATAATGATGATGGATGCCTTTTTTATGTCCAGTAGCAAGTTATAAGCATATTAAGGACGAGAACATGTTAATGTGAATATGAATACGAACACAGTCACTGCTTTATTATATGTATATATTTACTAAGTCCAACAGCAAGTTATAAGCTTATAAAATACGAGATCATGTTATATCAGGATATATTTATTTTTAATACATAATCATTAACCATAAGAATAGGTACAGAGAAGACTAGACCAACATTGTTACTTAACCGGATTTTTGACGTGCTAATGTCACAAGTGATCACAAGTTACCTGTAAACATTCCGCTGGAAGACATGTCAACCTACCTGGACACATTATTCTACCAATTTTCAAGTCATTGGTTTGACCTACCGGGATTCGAACCCACGACCTACCGCACCAGAATCAATGGAACACGCTAGCATACAACCAGACAATGCTGATCATAATCAGAAAAAGAAACACGAAAAAAATATTTTCAAACAATACCAAAAATATATTTCATACTTTTATTAAAGATAAATAAAAATCATGAATTGCCTTATACATTAAAGACTTCCATAGAAAAGGCGCTTCATGATTTTGTTTAAATTAATTATAGATAATTATTATATTTTTGGTCAATGAATTATTTTATCGATTAGCATTTGTTGTTCAGTGAGTTGATAGTGTAAACATTGGTAACTAGAGCGCTATCGATTCAAAAATAAACCAAGGAAAGTAATAAGCCAGCATACTTATAGGGGGTGTTTATACTCATGAGTTACCTTTTTCATCTTTTTTTCTCTTTAAAGAACCCGTCTTCAACCAGTTTTGTAACGAAATTAAGATATGTTTCAATTTTTTTATTTTGATTTGTATTCGGAACACTTATTTTTTTACCGTCACCGCTATGGTAAAAGCTGCAATCGCTGCTGCAGATTGGACACACTGTATGTAGTGTGCCGGTAGATAATTTGAAACTCGAAACTCGCATATTGATAATGTAAAATACATAATTGAAAAAAAAATGACACTTCTAAAGTTTGGTCGTCGTTTAAAAAGTGAGGTATTTGCCTCCATTACGCTACGGCCCTAATAAGAGGTAATTCTGATGCATAATTTTGAAAATTGTATTTGTTTCTTCATTTTCCATGTTTTACCGATAAATGAACTTAGTTAAATTGCAGTTAACATTAAGATGAAATCTGGATGTACATTTTTGAAACATTGATAACTTTTTCAAACTTTCATGGAATGTTATGCATGAAACTACTGACAGAGCTTCTTCAAGATCAAGAAAATGTATCTGAAGAAAAAAGTTCAATATATTTTATGTGTTCCGTATTTAACTGATAAATGTCAGATTTTGGCAGTCAACATAACACTTTTACCATGACAGCAGCAATAGCATCATCTTCGCTATCCAAGGGTTACGATCCACTTCCCTCCTCTCCACCCTTGGCGGATTGAGATAGAATTTCGGAGACACAAGGTAATGATTTTCATTGGTTGCAGTCAAAACTCACTGCATCCAATCAAAAAGCGCCTATAACATGATCACATTTAAATGTAGAACGTGTATGTAAACAATTGCCACGTGCTTATTGTGCAACAAGTCTTTACATCCCTAATCATACGACTATATTTAGTGAGAATTTGAATGTTTATAATCAACTAATAGAAGTTCCTGTGTATGTTTCTTGCACAAATGCATTAATGTCAACGTATATTTTCGTTTCCTGCTTTACCAAGTGTGTAGAATCTAGACGCTACCGTGTTTCTACCTCCAAATTGAAGAGTTCAAGTGCTACCATTGGTCAAGAATAATGTATTAGGAATGGGCGGGACTTTAATCTACCGATAGATGGCGCAACATTGTTATCACAAATGTTGGCTTAATCTGCCAAGGGTGGAGAGGAGGGAAGTGGATCGTAACCCTTGGCTAGCGAAGATGCAATAGCATGAGATACACAAGTTATGATTCAGCGGAACCTTTGCGATTTTTTCAGTTACAGGTTGGACACAACAGTTGAGTCATAAAATGACAAGTGGAAGAGCTTGTTGGCAAGATTAAATGTAAAATGTATAATCCTGCATAATTTAATAGGTAATTGCTTTCCCTTTTAACATGTTCATGATTGAAACATGTACCTGGTTGACAGAAATAAATCAGTTACCCAAAATCCTTATTTTCGTGAACAACCCCAAAGCACAAAATTTTACCAAGAAATTTAAATAAAAAGACGATGATGATCACATTTCTGTTGTTAAAATGAGTTTTTGTTTTTCCGATTTTAAAGTCAACTGCTTAATAGTACTTATTTAAGTTCCTATCATTATCCATGCAATGAAGAAAGAATACTGGAAGAGATATCGTAAATATTCCTGAAAGTCCAGCCACTAACAAATTAGTCTCATTACAGAAGAAGTCATCCGTTTGCATATACAAAATATTTGTATCCCACACATTTCATGGCCACCTTCTACGATTGAAGATCGTATGCTGATCACTACTGTATTCATAAGCTGTCTTTTCGTTGATATTTATTGACGTTTATCGATGAACTACTTAGAACACTCGGCCACCGAAGCCCCGATCCCTTAAATAATTGCTAAGTGCAATTTTTACATCACCATTGTTTCTCCATCAAATACCCATACCCAACCCTTGTTCCATCTCATGCGAAGAAACGACACGATATTTGGACCATCATTAAAATACTGGTTGTTTTCCTAAATCCTACCTTTCATACGTGTCTGTGTTTAGGTAGGTAGGAAGACTGTTTACTTTTTTAACTATGTTTCATTTTTGGAGACGATGAGTTCAGCAAGATATTGTCAAAATAATTTGGAATGCGTATAAACCTGATACGGTAGATTATAGTAACAAGATTGTGACTGATCAGCAAACATTTAAGAAAACTAGATGGTTATAATTTTTTCTCAAAGTTTGGTAATACATGTTTGTAAAGCAGCAAGTTTTTGAGTATGTGGTAGTTAGAAAACAATTAATATTATATTTGCTTTAAGCCATGTTGTAAATTTATTCAAGTCCTCTACGTTTTGTGACAAATGGTTTACCCCACCTAAACAAACAAATTCTTTATAAAAGTAATTAATTATAAATACTATATATGGAACATATTTTACATTCTATACATTTTTAATTCATGATTGCGGAAAATGACATAAAGTAAAAATCTGTGTTTGATAAAATGGTACATTGTGAGGTCAAGATGTCTATGATTTCCTTCCGTCTTCCATTTTTACTAGCTAAATTCGTAGATAAAATATGGAATATATGCCGTGTAAGTTGTGAATTTCCTTGGTCCAACAATTCTCATTGTGACATTCTGTGTCGTCGGTAAGGTGCAAATTTCTTCCCCTGAAAAGATTAAGTGTTATTAAAGATGTATGACAAAATTATGAGGGCGCTGCGCACTACACAAACCTTCATCAGGTATCCGCTCTAGACCAAATAAATTCATAAAATTAACTTTCGTATGATGTTTGTTCAATTTATAAATGATTTGATACATAAAGGGATCGTAAACATGTGTGAGAACACACTGGACAAGTATGATTTGAATACATTATCAGTGTATATAAAGTGCGAATCCAGTTTGTTCATTTTCACTGTTGTACGCGAGTATGTCTATTGTAGAATAAAGGATGATGGGAAAAACTGCGTTTGTTTATTTTTTGAAAATACAAAATAATAGATTTGAATGTATTTTTTAACAGAATTTCATTAGACTATAACTTTTTAATGTATAATAACAGGATTAAAGTTCAAAAAAGTGTTATTTAAGCAGCAGAATCCATAATATTGATTACTGAATGCGATTCATTTTAACTATAGATGCGATGAATTATCACTGTAAGTGCAATCATTTCTGATTTGGAATATTTGGAAGTGCGATGAATTTTCATTGTCGTTTTATATGATTATTCGACATACAACAACTGAAAATAGTTTTTAAATGACTTTAATATTGATGGTATTTACAATTTGAAATGCAAGCTAGTCGTAGATGCTTACTTGAATATACACGGGTATAACCATGTTCATATCATGAATATTCAAATATTGTTGGTGAGTTTGCTATTAGCTTGTCATGGATCCGAAAATTTACTGGAGCAGAACATCCATGAATATAACGTTTTTCTACGACGAATTTTCTTTGAAAAGTTTTATAACTCGCTTAAAAATGCTTTGAACATTTGTCACGCCGTGTCATACATATTTCTACCTTATTGATAGACTTTTGCACAACGAACAGTACAAGAATTTACAACGAACGGTACTAAAGAAAGAAAACAAACTACAAAGAGAATGAATCGTACAGTGTCAAAATTTTGAGGTTAGTTTTTCAAGAAAATGTCTTCAAATAAAATTAAAACAACGGGTTTCTCATTCGTATTATGTATTTTAACAACAAAAAAGCACAAAATACACGGTCGCATTTAGTGAAAGAGCCAACCAACTATACTCTATTTGTAGTTTAATCAAGTTTGAGTTACACATAGTATTTGTTTCGCGATGTTTACAAGTAATTCACAGACCTGTCTATTTAAAATAGTCACATGGTGTTCATGTAATATAAATGATATACAATGCTGCTAGGAGCAGTAAACTTTGTTTTCATAAACATAGAATACTTAACGGAACATTTAGTCAATTAGTCTTTGGTGTACATATAAGAACGGTATATCTACCAACATTGCTTCGCGATGTAGCGATTAACGTCCGGAATCAACTGTACGGCGGTTATACCCCGTGGTATAGAACCATTTAAACATGTAACAATAAACTGTTTTCAATATTTCTTTGTATTCTCACAATTGCGTATTGGCTTATTTGTAACACCGACTTATAAGAAATTCAAGCATATTTAAGGTGACTCGACTGTTGCTCGAACTTTCTTTACTGTATAAGATTTATACACAATGGCATGATAAATATCAATTATCCAGTCACCCAAGCGTCAATTGTTTGTGCAAGATGAAAACGTTTCCACTCATTCAATCGTGAAATGAAGATCGTTTTGTGAATGTTCTTTGTTATCTCAAATGCATCCATTAGAGCAATTTTCCTAACGCTTGTAGTTTAAAGGTTTGGTTGACCTTCTTGCTTTGTTTGTATAAACGTTTGCTCAATCTTAATTACAATGCTTATGCAACATTTACACAATCAAGGCCAACCACACCTTTTAACTACAAGCATTAGGACATTAGCTCTAATGACGTTGAATTTATTAGTATGAGATGTAGATTTAGACCGAAACAGAAACTTTGCTTTAAAATTTCCGGTGACGTGGATTGGCTTAACCTCCAAGATATATGTATTTAATGATGACGTGTCATAGGAAAGAATAAATTTTATCCTACATATAGATCAGGACAAATTATTTGAGAAAATAGAATTGACTATATTAGCAATAAATACCATGTTTAAGGAATTTATTGATATATTACCTCAGACTTCCACTCGCTAAGTATGCATATATAATCAATCCTTCTGACTTCATAAATTTTGTTAGAGAGTCGGCTGAATTAAGACTTTATATAATGCAAATTAATTAATTTCCTTCTGTGAAAATGCATCGCATATATACAATAGAAATGAATCGCCCTACAGTGAAAATGAAAGTCTAGTATCATTATTCGACAGTAAACATGAATCGCATAACGAAAACTGCATAGTGGAATTTGATTCAATATCAACAAGCTGACTTTAAAAAACCTCTTTTAAGTTAAACAACATTTATAATTATGTTAAAAGGTACATTTTTCTGCAAATGAAACTTAACTGCTACTTTAAATCTCTTGCACGCTCTGTTCGTGAACTATTCTTAAAATTTATCTATTTGTGTATCAATTTTGCACCTGTATGGCTGTAGGCGCGATGAAAACCCGTCCGCATCTCATACCTATAATATTTATCAAGAATTTATAAAAACAGTACACATTATATATTATTTCTTATTTTATTAAAAAATCTTGAATTTGTCGTCTGTTTATTTATTATTCTACATCAGAAATTCATCACGGATACAGTAAAAATGACATTTTAGGATTCGCACATTACATACACTGATTATGTTGATGACAATTTACTAAGTACTCAACCCGAACATTTGATTTTGACGCTGAGACAATTCATTTTTTTTTCTCAACTTAGAATATCAATATATCTAATTTAGGTACTAAAGGTTCAGCTTTATTGCCAGTTATAGTACTGCAACTGACCTCGAAAAAGGCGCTTAGTTAACGAGTTTAATGTTCCGGAATAACACACGGCTGCAAATTGTTTTAAATGATAGAATAATATCTATATTTTAATTTCCGTCTGGTCGTAAAAAGTTTCTTTGGTCACATTTTTGTATTTTAGCCCTTAAATGGGGTACCCCTCAATTTACGGTTTTGGGTGGTCACCTTAAAATCCAAAAACAAATTTATTTTGTTAAATTTCCGGCTCTTTTCGTAAATAGTTTCGATGCACATATCATCAAGGATCATCGGAATGATGAAGACATAAATATAATACCATCCCCGAGTAAAACTCTTAAACTTAAAGTTGGCAGTTTTTAGATGGAAATTTAACGCATTCTTCTCTGAAAACGAGAAAACTTATGATTCAAAAACAGTATTTGACATTTGAGAGGAAAAAGTACATTATTGCGATACTGCATGCAAATTTCATTGGGCAAATTCCCAAACAATTTTGTCAAAAACTCAAAAATAAAATCATAATTTATACCTTTTTTTATTACGGAAATTTCATATCCGTCAATCAGCTCCATCATTTACTTTTTCCTTCACAATGAATTTGGTAGTTTCGATGTGATTATGTTCATTTTCTTGGATAAGTTAATTAATTATGAGTTTTTTTAAGAGTGATTTGATTAAATATAGTAGTTCTTTCGTGTGTTTTCTGTAAATAAGTTATATTTTTGTTGATAAAATTTTGACTTTTTATAAAAGTTAACCAAATCCTTCGGATAAGATGTTTTTTCCGGATATTGACTAGTTGTGGAAGTCCTGTAAAGTTTACTCCTACTAGTCCCAAAAGGAGAAGGCTTGACAATGTGTGGAAAAATATATTGTATGTCAATGTTCAACCTCAGAGCAATTATTATGCATGCAAGCTGTCAGGGAAAAAAGTACTTTTGATGTTTTGCAGAGATTTGGTGTGTGACAAGGTGATGCTACAACTAACTTCTCTTGATATTCTGCTTTTCTTGGACGAACGAGTTGTGAATCATCAGTGATGTTATAAGACTTACACCAGAAGGCAAAATTGTAGCGTCTTCAAATTAGAAACAACAGAAAGCCAAATATGTGATCAATCTGATCCACATGTATCCTCACAACCTGACACTTTCATACGATCTTGCGCTCAGTTTCCTCCATTCCCCCTTGTAGTTTGGATATGAAAACATGTTTTTTGTGTAAAAGCAAAACCTTTGAAAAGGATAGAAAACTTCACAAAATTGAGTCGCCTGAACGTGTTGACAGTCTTTTGAGGTGTGCTAATGAGAGTAATCATTTATCCATGGTAAAGAATGGGAGTACAGATTTATTTTCAAAAGCAGTCTACCTGTCAGCATGCATTACCAAGTACTTATTGAAGTCAACACCTGTGAAATCAGGTAAAACAGTAACTGAAGAATTAGAAAATGAATTTGCTTTCAATTCATTGATAACGATTGTTAATGATGATATTTTCTTCCATAAATAGGCCTTTCTCATGTAGCACATCCTCGGCATATACCGATCACTTTTACCCAAGAATGTCTCTGATGATTACCCATCTGCCAAACTCCAGACCAAACTAACTAGTTGTTATGACACCTTACAATTCAGACACAGCAGGGACAAGGGATGTCAAATATAGAGTTCAGCTCTGAGCTCACTATAGGGGATACCATATCTGCTGCAGGAAAATTGAAGTCTATGTTAAGACTTTCAGAATTACACCCAGGTGTGTCTGAAGATATCAAGGATACATTAAAAGAAGAAGAATTACTTCACTCTGCCGCAAGCGCTCTTAGAAGCTCTGTCTTCGTCGGGTGCTTTTATGGAAAAGATGCCCGCATCGCTTTTTTGAAAAATCACACAAAGGCGCTTCTGAACCGTGTGTTGTCTCTAAAGATAAAAAAGAATCGTAAATGTATGGCTATTACAAAATCAATCGTTTCTGTAGCAAATTCAACATTTCGCCCATTGCATTTGGGATTGGCCGTGCAGTTATATCATGACTATGGGAATATGGGTCACGAACATTGATGGAAACTTTGTACTCACATGGCTTTTGTGTTTCCTATGCAGCGGCAAGACTATACCCGACAAGCATTGCCATGCACGAGTTTGACCGAATCAAGACGGTATTTACTCTCCAGATGGCATTGTTTCAAAACACCAAGTGGGTGTTTGATATTAAAAGGTACCGACAATAAAGTCATCAACACGGAGACAATTAAAAGTGAGGAACGTTTCATTCCATGGCACAAGCAGACTTTCAGGTTTGTCAATCTACAATTGATTCCAGTTTGCATCAGATTAAAGTGAAAAGAGGTCAAGATAACACTTTTCAATTTACTGACAGTGCATCATCGTTGGCGGCTGTTTCATTATACTAAAGGTAAGAGAGGTCTTCCTCGCGTTCCGAATGTTTCAAATACATTTCAAATTGTGCTGAAAATATGGAAAACACATCAGATATTCCTTGGGTAATTTTGCGCTCCATGTTAAGATATATCGGAAATATTACTGTTAAGTCAGAAACGTTTGACCATCAAGTTATTTCATTTGAGACCAGATATAACAACGCTTTCTGACTTCAGGCTTGAATTTTCGGCCGGGAAGACAAAAATGAATAAACCCCCAACATTTTTCAAGGGACAAATGTCATCAGATTACTTACAAGATTGTATTGGTACCTGCAAAGGTAAATCTCTGTGCTTAAAAGCGGTGTTTGCTTTGAACAAACTCTGTCCTGCACCGAACTAGTTTGTGTCATGAACAGGAAGTGTGTTGTAGTGCAAATACGCATACCATGACGAAGAGATTGATCCATATCCCTCTATAATGAAGACTAGAGCTATTGTATGTAGCTTTTAAAAGACAAGTTATATAAGGGTCTTGACCGATTTTAAATTACAACATTAGCAAATTGGCATTAAATTGTATTTTTCATTACTTCCCTAAAAAAATGATGAGTCTACACTTATTTACCAGGATAATGCAACTAAGACAATGTTCATGCACCAAACTGAGTTTGTTTTACACTCAACCAACCGCTAAATCAATGCATGTCACACTTATGATTTTTTTTAACCTCGCATTCGCCTCGGTGTACTATGATTTTTTTTGTGTTATAACTGATCTGTCCGGACTTTGCAAATACACAATATTTATAACTAGATCCTAATTTTCCCAAAATACACATCATTTTAGATGCAAAATTAAAAACATTGTTTCAGCGCTTGAATTTTGTTTTTTTCAAAGATAGAAAAAATATTTAATAATTTGATAAACTGGTGTTTTTTAGTTTAGAAAATAATTCTGTAATATACTGTAGTGAAAAACTATAAGAAATATGAAAGTTGATGGATGTAAAAAGGTCAAGGCCACTTCTACTTTTGCTATGTCATAAATGGAAAAAATCAGGAGGTTCCAGATTAACGCCATTTTGTAATAGCAGCTCTTCATATAAATAGTCAAATTTGTCGTTTTAACATCCTTTGCAGCATATGCTTATGATTGAACCGTTTTTGCAGCATTCTAATGAATGAATATCAGAAAATTTCTCCTTTTTGTCCTTGTGGTTGTAATACTGATATTTTTAGGCCTGACCTTTGACCCCAATTTCACAAAAATGTGACCACTCTGAAATTTTACGACCAAACTTTTCTTTTTGTACACGTTTTCCTCTTTCCATCGATATATAATTTAGGTGTGTGTTCTTCCGGAACATTAAAGTTTTAAAAAATTAACTCTGGTTGCAGTACTATTAAAGCTAAGATGAGTTTCAACGTTTAATACAATTCATGGTACAACATTTTCCATAATCATCGAAAAGCAAGCAGTATCATTTTATTTACATTTTTTTTCAACGTCTGAAAGATAAGGTACGATTGCAGGTCAAATTGGTCTTTAAAAATGATGTATTTTTGAACCGTTTTTTGATATGCAGATTCAAATGTTAAATCTATGAACTTGAATAAAACATTGCAGTTTTTGTTCAAAATTGGATTACAGTAAATTAAGAAAATTGGCGAAATTAGACTTCATTTTTTTACAGGCACATGCTTAGAAATAATACAGTGCACACCACTCTGCCAAAAAAATATTTACACAGGAGGGGTATGTTGTTCATCTATTCGCTGGTAAAATATTGTGTGGGTGACACTTGTTAATTTAGCCCAAATGTTCTTAAAATTAGCATATCTTGGCTAAAATCTTTAAAAAAATCGGACTTAGGATGTAACTGTACGTCAAGACTAAAATATTATTTACATTTTTCTGAAAGTTAAAAAAATGTAATAAGTAATGGCGTCAAACAATTTTTTGTTAATGATTTTACACGTATCAAAGAATCCCTAAATATGCCTTTTTGATTTGTTTCAGGATGTACGGCATACTATACAATTTCTTTATACAGAATACATTGTTTTGGTTTTGTGTGATTTATCATGGTTTTACTTTTCCATTTATGAAACATTTGTACTGTAGTCCTTTTGTTTTGTGCGAATGCTCAGTTAGATTTCTACAATTCTATTTACATGTTGTGAAAGGTTCGTTGTGAAATATTTGCCACTTGGCTTATGCAATGAAAACAAAACTGAATCATTTTCTTTATGTACTGTTTACGATATTTACATTATAATTTGATTGATTGATGATTGTTTGATGCTTATTGTCCAGTGGCAAATATTTCGTGCATGTTCAGGACGATGTTATTATATAAAACAAGTTCGTACCTTTCTTTGGTAAAGGAAGCTGTTCAGTTACTCCATCAATGATTTCATATATTTTTTTAACAGTTTTGTCTGTTATGTGCCCTATACAAACTTCGTATTCCTGTACTGTAGCTGTGAACAGAATGTTTAGAAATGCCATTGGATAATGCCAGCTAACTGTGCCATTCAAACATTCATAAGGAATATCCACATTCCTCTCTGGTCGTTTTCTAAAATACAAGATTTGGGATGATTCAGTGGTCATTATGTCAATATTACAAAGGAGGTTGATACTGAAAGAGAGGTGAAAGATACCAAAGGGACATTCATAAGCAGACCCTGCTCCACATGTGGCACCCGTCGTGTTGCTCATTTAGTACTTCCCTTTTTCCTTTGCATCTGCGTTTCTGTGATTCATCATTTATGTATCAACGCAGGTGTCAACTTTCTATTTAAAATTTTAAGGTTTTAATTATTTAGCTTATTAAAGCGTATTTAATTAATTAGTGAATTCATTAATCCATTTATTATCATACATGTGACAGAATGCTCAGCAAGATAATGTATCCAAAACAAAAATATTATGTTTTTCATGTGGAAGATTTCCAGACAATTTACACTTTTTTTCAGATAATCAAGAGATAGAAATGATTCAAGAGTGTAGCTATTTGTGTACGTTATTACAACAGCAGGAAACTTATAAACAGGCAATGAAATCACAGGTTGAAAAGGGGACAAAAGTGATGTATAAGATACTTAAAAAAAGGGAAAATTTCAAAGCCTATCAGCTTCTTGTCAGTTAGATCTTTTGATAGAGTAGTCAAACCTGTTCTGTTATATAGATCAGAAATATGGGGATTCAGTAATTGATATTATTGAAAAGTTTCATCTAAAATTTTGTAAGTTGCTCCTGAATCTGAAATCGTCCACTCCCAACTGTATGATATACGGTGAGCTAGGACGTTTTCCACTTACTTTAGATGTAAAAATTAAAAATGATGACCTACTGGTCAAAATTAATTAAGGGAAAACAGTACTACTTGTATTGTACCAAAAACATAGATTTTAAATGGTTAAGAGTTGTTAAAAGTATATTTGATCAATGTGAATTTTTTTATATCTGGAACACACAGTACTTTTTTAAATGACATATGGTTGAAACGTAATAGCAAAGCAAGATTGTGTGGTCATGCAATTCAAGCAAACATGACTAGAGACTATTCAAAACTGTTTGGAAGCCTTGATTTATCGTATTTTAACGAGTTTATTTTGTTTTGAAGAATATTTTAATATTTTAGACGAAAACGATTTTTTGACGTTATGTAAATTTAGATATGTAACCATAAACTTACAGTCGAACTTGGAAGATGGTTCAATATAGAAAGGGAAAATAGAAAACGTAATTTATGCAATCTAGACGGGCGCCGGACGTTTGCGCTTTTTTACCTGTAACACGAAAGGACATTTGCGCTCCAAACACTCTGGACATTTGCTCTTTAAAATCTCTGATACACCTGAATTAAATTGACCGGACATTTGCACTTTTTACTTATGATAGTTTACTTGTTATCTTAACCAAATTTATATAAATCAAGGATCGATGTTCACACAATTTCTTTGAAAGTTCTCCCGTACAAACCACAAAAACAGAAAAAAATATTCGGGTAAACGATAGAGAAAAAGAAATTTTTATGGAGGCAACTTTATCCGAAATAATAGTTAACAACGATAAATAAGTTTATTTCTTATGCAGCAAAAATACTGCAATCTGATTGGTTAATTACCCCGGTGTAAATAACACCCCACCCTTGTTTACCCCGGGATAAATAAAATTTTGCCAGAAAAAAAAAAAAAAAATAAAATGTAAAAAAAAAAAAAAATAATAATAAATTAAATGTAAAAAAAAAAAAAATTTGAGGACAAAAATTTGCAAAAAATTAAAAAGAATGTTTTTTAATTTTTTTCCCTCGAAAATTCAAAAGAACAATTTTTTTTTCTGAATTTCCCCAAAATAAAGAAAAAAAGTATTTGACAATGCGCAGCAATATCGTCGTTGAAAAAATGTTACACTGGAAATTTTTCATTACCATTTTTCAATTTTACATCCCGGTTTAAAAATGAGTAAAGGAATTGTTCATAAGAAATAAATTCGTTATCTTGGTGTAATCAGGGGTGTACGGAATTTTACACCGTTGTTGAAAATTCATACACCCATTCGGCTGCGCCTCAGGGTGTATGAATTTTCAACAACGGTGTAAAATTCTGTACACCCCTGATTACACCAAGATAACTAATATTATACCCGAAAGACAATACATATTTTAACTTCCAAATTAATTTTGGTTTTGGTTAACATTGTCCTTCTTATACATTTTTGGGATAAATACTCAAAATATGCCAAAATATGTTAAAATTCTTGCACTTTCTTCGGGCGTTAATATATTGGTAATGTGTTAAGAATAAAAGCCATATTATTGTTAAAACCTTAAAGTACACACATTAGGCTGATTGAAAGACTTTTTGAAAATGCTTTGGTGTGAAATAAATTCAGGAAAAATTGGCCACAGCAAGACCAGAACCATAAGCATATGTGTTAAAAAGCATTAATAAAACTGTTGCAGATTATATAAAATACTAACAGACAAATATACTTAATGGGTTACATGTAAACATATCTGTACTTTATTGATAGTTTTCTGGGGTAAAAACATTTATTTATTTCTGCTTTGCATCGATCTGATGAGTAAAGCCATTATCAACTCATTTTTTTTTGTTCTTATGGTGTGCTGGAACACCACTGTCCCAGATTAAGGGAGGGTTGAGCGCTCACAAACATGTTTAACACATTTTTTATGTGCCTGTCCCAAGTCAGGAGCCTGTAGTTCAGTGGTTGTCGTTGGTTCATTCTGTCATATTTGTTTTCCATAAATTGTTTGTTATAAATTAGGCCTTTAGTTTTCTCAATTGAATTGTTTCATATTTTTCATGTCGGGGCCTTTTATAGTCGATTATACGGTATGGGTTTTTCTCATTGTTGAAGGCCGTACGGTGCCTATAATTGCTTACATCCACTTTATTTAAACTTGGGTGGATAGTTGTCTCATTGGCAATCATATACCACATCTCCATATTTCTATATTAAGACGATTGGTTCACAGGACTTCACATGTATGTTAAGATATAGTATGATAAAGTGATATGCTAAAATATATTTCAAATGACCACGTTGTAATTTTATTTTTATGCTTTTTGGTGAGTTGCCACCTCATTGACGAACATTCCATTTATATTTTTATTTTAGGGAATAGATAGTTGGAATTATATACCATTATTATACCACAGTTATCATTTTCTATATAAATCAAAGCACTGTAGTACTGAACATCGGATGACTGCAAGTTCTTGTGGATGGTCCGCACAAGCACTTGTCTCAGAAAAAAAAATCACATCTCTATACCTGAAAGTGAGGTTAATGTACAGATACAATTTTTTTTCTTAGACAAGTTCGTGCGTGGATGATAAATAAATGACAGGGAATTCAACCTTCACCGTAATAAATATGATATTGAAGTGATACAAATCAGTATATTCTGGTTGTTGTTATATATTATATTAATATTTGTATATTACAGTTACATGTATATATAATTTTTATCCATTTGTATATCATTCTATTCTACTATATTAATAAAAGTAAAACTTTCAATCTCCCATGCAGAGTTATCGGTCCTTGAGAGAGAGCGAGGACCGATAACTCTGCATGGGAGATTGCAAACGTTCTTGAGATATTCTTCCGCATGCGTTAACACACATTTTCTGTACGTGTGCATATATATTAAAGATTTTTTTACTTATATATATATTTCTAACGACAAAACATTTTCATATTATTAATTTATGTTCTAAAAAAATATTTTAGGAGTATCCATTGAAAAAATGAATTTATAACAAGCGATAAGGAATGTTATTTTGTACTCGATAATGTCCGTGTATTTATCATGTTTATAGATCGGTTACAATCCCAACACAAAAAGTTACGTAATGTAAATCTAGGCGACAGCAATACACCGGAATGCCCTCACGGTCATCCGATGTAAAAAGTACACAATATTTTCACTATTTTTCAAATTGCAAGTGTTGAACTATTTGACCGGTCAATAGTTTCCAACTATTGTCCCTCGGTGAAACTATTTGACCGCAAGCGTTCAGGACAATAAACTTACTATTCCACTCATACCCAGTCAATAAGTATAAAATATCAGAGTGCCTGCAATGTCAATGGCGGAAACCACATTGCTACAATACGTAAGAAATTTTAATTGTGGTTTAAAAATCACAAGCAGCTAAAATTGTATTTTGATTGCCACTTTGAATTAACCAATCAAATAAACATAAGACAAATGACAAAACATTTCCGCAAGATCCTGGAACTTTACATAACTAAACGTAAGATATGTATGATAAAAACATTTTCGCAAGATCCTGGAACTTTACATAACTAAACGTAAGATATGTATGATAAAAACACTTCCGCAAGATCCTGGAACTTTACTTTACCAACGGACAATTAATACGACAACATCCTCTACAAAGGATAATAACTGATTACACAACAAGACCTAATGTCATAATTCCCGGATTTCGAAACAGAGGTAGAACTAATATGCATATATATTACAGAAAAACATGATATTTACACCACTGTACCACTAAGACTTGACAGGAAAAGGTTAATGTATAGATACTTACGAAAATAATACTGGGTTGCAAGGGTCCGTTGTATCCAAACGACAATTTATCGTTACCACATTTAGAAGAAATAATGATGATACCAAAATAATACTTTTTATTCGGTCCATTCTAGACTCTTATATATTAGAATTAGTTATTTAATTATTATTCAAATTCATCTGACATGATGAATGTCATCTACTTGGGATAATTACGCAGTAAAGAATGAACATTAAAATATAAATGATAGTCTCTTCATTAATTATACTTATGTGTAAGCTACAAGGTGATGTTTTCTTGTGTTCTTATGACGGTCGCTATATGTCATTTAACTAAAAGGTCACTCTGGTTGTCAAAAGTTTGTTTGTTTACTACTCTGTTCTGGTTATTTCACTATTTCCGGTACACATTTTGTTAAAGAAATGACAAGCAATAATTTAGCTGGCCACAATAATCTATTAACATGTAAACAACGAAGTTGTTCCACGAATTTCTGTAAGGAGCGTTCTATTTCATTTTCATAATACATCAGCTACTCAAGATAAAAAATATTAAGGCGGTCTTGAGGTCTCCTGTCAAATCACAATCCATAAAGATCTTTTTCTTGTAAGACAAAACCGTTTTAGTTTTTTTTTTAACCAGTTTTACATATATAAAGTCAAAGTGTAAGTAATTGGGCAATATTTGGAAATTTAAGTATTGTCTTTAAAAAGAAAGCATCATATTTCCTAGTCCGTCCTTCGTCGTGTTCTTCAACAGCCAAAAGTTTTTACGCTGTTAGCATTAATGCAAAACGCTAAGCGTAAAATGTACGTAAAGGTTGTATAAGCCCGAACACTTTTAATGTGAATATGCATGTCACAAGTCAGGAATCTTATAATTGTCAGTGGTTGTCTTCTTTTTATGTTACTGGGGTTTTTTTTAATTGTTTTTTTGGGGGGGGAGGAGGGGTCCCTTGTATTTTTTGTTGTTGATGGTAGAACTGTGGTAGTCTCTGATAAATCTATTCACATCTTGTCTTGTGCTTGACAAATGGTATTCACAAGTACCCCAAGTCTATTTTTGAAGAACATATGTTGCTCTTTAGTTTTTTCCCTGAGTTTATTGTGTGGATTGATATTTTATTGACGTATACCATGCAAATATTATTTTTATACCGGCTCGATGGTCTCGTGGTAGCATTGTAGAGTGCGGTAAGTCATGGGTTCGATCTCAGGCTGGTCAAATCAGAGCACGCGGTTTTGAGGATTGGGAACGAAAAATGTTTGAATCGGAGTCGAAATGATGTGTTCCGGTAGAGTGACATGTCTCCCAGCGGATTGTTACCTTGTGAGCTAGCAACTATAATTCCGACTTGGTGTGTTAGGTTCGTATAAAGTACATTCATATCACACTTAAAGGTAATCGTCCTGAAAATGCATGTAATAAACAATGTAGTCAACAGACGACAAACGTGACTTTGCCTTCAGAAAATTCAATTTACATATCACAATTTTTAGAAGGTAAAGTCTTCATCATACAGCCTATCCCATCAAACTGAATGTAAATCCTAATAGTTTTGATTTCATTTAAATTTTAATGTAATACCTCGATGCTATAGTAATACTTTACAACACAGCTTTAAAAATTTGAATGTTAAGGGTTATGTTGTTGTTTCGTGCGTATGTTTGTTTGTATAGTTAGTTTTTGTCTCGCCTGCAGTATGCGAGACTTAGGTATTGCTATCCGGCGGCGGCTGCGGCGTAAGTCACTGATTCTGCGCTAGGTATAGATATATCGAGTATTTTATCACGGTGTTGTTTACAAAGCGAAAGAAGCACGTCATATTAGAATTGTGAATTAACGTCATGTTTCGATTCGTTGATGCAATTCTGTCATACATTGAACTCTTTCATGAGGATTACAGATATCAATTTTCAAGCCCCGTGCTAACGATTTATTCTTTTAACTAGCTGTTCCTTTTATGAGAATGATAGAAATAAAACATATGAAAATAAAAAATAACACTTTTAAATGTGTTGCGTTCAATGCTATTCTAGTTTGACCTTTGCCAAGAACGCTCAAATCCAAGTTTTGGATTTCAAAGATATATAAAAGTTGAATAGTTAAGGGGCTATATGACTTTATTCGTGTGTGTGTGTGTGTGTTTCGGCCAGGCTGACTGGTAGGTTTTAGAAATTTTACTGAACATGAAACAAATAAAAACATGTGTCTGTTATGTTCGGAACACAAGTTCCTGAATAAAGTGATGCTTGGTTGATCGATAATGTAACATGACTATTGCTAAGTGTGCGTGTATTCGTCTTCATCCGCACACATGGGCAAATTTTATTCTCGTATAAAATGGTTATTTCAAAGTCGAATTGAATTATCAAATTCATTATGGAACCTTGTATCTTAATTAACAAGAAATTTGAATGCAAAAGCAACTAATTTTGTAGAAAGTATGGTCTGATGCACATTTTTTTTCTCTTCATTTTATAGTGGAAAACTTGCATGTAGTTTTAGTCTCAACAGGCATATATTTGAACCTCTTACTATCCTAAAGAGGAAATAAAGGTAGTATATGAAATGATTATGATGCACTTATCATTGTATCTTTTTACAGTTTTGGTGAAATATTTATGATTGAGTTCAACTGCTATGTACAAAGCTCGTCTTATTTCAAATGCACCAAACAGGTCGTTCGACGTGAACCATTAATACAACACATTTCCCACATTTTTTCTGTAATAATCTACTTTTTTCTAGATTAAGAGTTCACAAATGATTAACGAAACTTAAATTAAGCATATATATATATATATATATAAACACAAATATCAAAACATAGAAAGACAGCATGCCTCTTAGTCATAAAAATTGAAACCGGCTTACAAATGCTTATTTTAGCCATATAATGCCAAAATCGGACATTTCAAAATAATTTCTATCAAATAAAGATGTCAATCATTTACTTTCATTCAGTTTGATAAATTGATACCAACAAGTCATTCAGGGAAGTTGCCAAAGTACAGAATCTACATTTACTGAATTCATCTCTTAGGATAGAAAGACTTGACCTATTCTATAAAACTTTCCAGGCCTATGTTTAGAGAATTATAAGAGAGTTGGCCAAGTTTCATGGCCATAGGATATATATCATACAGACTATAGATATAAGAAGATGTAGTATGAGTGCCAATGAGACAACTCTCCATCCAAGTCAAAATTTATAAAAGTAAACCATCATAGGTCACAGTACGGTCTTCAACACGGAGCCTTGGCCCACACCGAACAGTAAGCTATAAAGGGCCCCAAAAATTACTTTGGTAAAACCATTCAAACGGGAAAACCAACGGTCTAATCTATATAAAAAACGAGAAACGAGAAACACTTATGAACCACATCAACAAACGACAACTACCGAACATCAGATTCCTGACTTAGGACAGGTGCAAACAAATGCAGCGGGTTTAAACGTTTTAATGGTACCAAACCTTCACCCTTTTTCTGAAACAATAGTGTAACATCACAACATAGAAAGACACACTATAAAATATCAACTGAAATAGCTTAACTCAATCAAAGGACATATTAACACCATTGAACATACACTGAACAAATAAATTTGACTTATGATACAATGTAAATACAAAATAAATAAACTAAGGGAAGAACTATGGCCATTTTAATATTGAATTTTAGATGTTTATTTTTGACGTTTAAATCGAACAATTTTAACTATCAAGATTTGGGCCTAAAAAATTTAAATATTGCAAAAAAGCTTTTAAATGTCCTTTTATATCATATATTATGGATTAAAAGCAAATGAACACTCATTTGAGGTATTAGATTTATTGCAATAGTTCAAAAGTAAAATTTATATGAGCATGTTCCCGAAAATAGAGATTTTCTTATTAAGGGGGCCTTTTTCATAAACATGTATTGTTTTCAACCAAGTAAAAAAAAAAAAAAATTTAACTTAAATTATTTTTCCACATATATTTAATGTACTTTTAATGGAAAGAAAAGTTACAAATAGCATACAAAATGATTAAAGGTTGGTCTTAGGCCATGTAAGATTGAAAATTATTTTGGGTCAATTAAGGCCGTTGCACATATTTACTTATAAAAATGCAAACGGAAGCTATAAGAAATAGAAATTTGTTACTTTTTGCTCATTTCTATGCTAAGATATCATGATACAAGAAGTCTGAATGCAAAAGCGCTCCTGCGTTCAACTGTTTTTGCAGACAGTATGACCTGCTGCACAGTTCTTTCACTTTTCAGTGGAAAAATTGCGTTTAGTTTTAGTCTCCACAGCATACACTTGAACCACTTTCTATCCTATAGAAGAAAATGAAGGTAGTATATGAAATGACTATGGTGCACTTATCATTGCAAAGTGCTTTCTTTACAGATTTAGAGCTACCAATTATTCCCAGCATCCATTGTCACTTCTAACCGCGAAGAGCCAATAAATATTCTTTTTGTTATAGGAGTATGTAATAATTTTGTTAAACCTTCATAAAATTTTACAACATTTGGAGTGAAGCTTTTTATGATCAAAAGACAGTATCCATTTTAAAAAATATTATTTTAATTTTTCTGTATTTTACTTTTAAATGGACTTTTTACAGTTATACAATCTAAGGTTAAATTTTTCAGTCATCAACAACTTTGTCAAACCTTTATGGAATTTTAAGAAATTTGGATAAAAGATTTTTTATGATTAAACTACAGCATCAAGAACAAAATAAGAAATAAAAATCTTCACATTCCCGTGTTTTAATGAATAATGTCTGAAACAAAATTTAGAAAATTTATTTCTTTCATTCTTCAGTATGTTACTGATAGATGGACTGTCTTGGATTAAATTTGTTGACATAATACAGTTGTAAACATGCATGGATTGTTATGAAACTTGGACAGAAGCTAATCTACAAGATCAATAAATAGGATCCAAAGAAAAAATTTTGATTTTATTTTTAATTCTGTATTTCATTGATAAATTGACATTTACAGTCAACATTAATCTTTAACACTGACAGCAGCAATCGCAGGCGCGTCACAGGGTTCCACGGAAACCTTTACGAATTTTTCATTTCTTTAGTTTATCTATATTTCGATTCGATCTAAAGTTAAATCAGTTATAAAGATCGGCGTCTTTTTGAAAATACAGATGAAAATGTTGCTTCCCTGTAAATATGCTGACTTTAATACATCTTGCAAATGACCCTATCAGTTTATATAGACATTTAAAACATTTTTAGTTGAAAATTCACATTAATACAGATCAGAGCTATAAGGCATTGTGAAAGTTTAAACTTTAAAGATCTTAATCTTTTTGAATAACTGTTTAAAAACACCTTACAACCAATATCAGTATGAACAAACCCTACCCGAACCTCGACTGATAGCATTATCAGCAAAGATAAAAATTTCACCTGAGCCGCCATACCCAACAACCAAGGAAATGACTATTAATCTGAGAACATTTGTTGAATTTATTCTACTTTTCTATTTGAATTTGAAATTTTCTGGTAAGTTTTATAAACAATCACTTTTGGATCCTTTTTTTTATAAATTATTGTCGCCAAGGGAGTTCTGTAATGATGTTTCTATGTGTGTTTAGTATCAGAACAAGCTGTTTCCGGTTTCGAGAAAAACAATATGATTGGGTATAACACGACTTTTGTTTTTAAATTTGATAGCTATTTGTTCAAATTATTTGAAATAAAGTTAAAAATGATGCTCCTTTTACATTCAATAACTGTTCCTATTTGTTTTTAATCACTGATAATATGTTTTGCAATTGCTGTCTACCATTAGTAGCCGAATAGTAAAAACCCAAGACGTTTCCCAATATCATAATATATTTTCATAAGATATATTCATACAACAATATATTTCTACATATTAAGCATTTGTAATGAGGTTATTCATAACTAATTATAATTTATTATATAATTACAATAAACACACTATGCTATAATTTATCTAATATTAGTCATGTTGATATCTATTCCTGTATAAATACAAGACATTGACAACAGAGCTATTTCTTTATCATCATGGATTTCGCCATTTTAAAAATAACTTTACCCGCCTTTATGTATTAGCTATTATTTTGAGTCCAAGTGGTAGATCTTTTTTTTTAACGTTTAACAATTAATTTGAAAAAAAAATAAAAAGTACAGAAACATTAATAGAGAGCAAAATTTTACTTTTTTTTTTTTCTGCGCTGGAAAAAGTGGGAAAAGACGTTCAAATAATTTTTCTTCAGTATTATATAATATTCAAAAAGCATATCAGATAATTATCACATGCATTAGCACAACTAGTGTGTACTTTTGCAGTGGATACTGGAGAAATTTAAAAGCAAACACTAAATGTTCAAATGAAAATTCAAATCGATATTATACAAATATAGCCTTTGTATGAGGTCGATACGAGGATATACCGACATGAAAGCAGTATATTGAATGAGGACGATCTATAAGGCATTTTCTTTTTATAAAAAGAATATCTCGTTGATGAATACCATAAGATGTATTATGTATTGTTTCAAATTGTCTAATTGCAATTATTTAACACATCTACATAGTTTTAGAAAATGCTAGTGAAAAGATGGCACTGCCAACTGATTCTCCCCGAAATGCACATTTAATGAGAGAGAGAGAGAGAGAAAAAAAGTAAAAAGATGGCACTGCCTACTGAAGTTCCCCGAAATGAACATTTAATGAGAAACACATTTCTATTGTGTCAAAACACTAGTATGCTTGAAAAGTGGGGAGAATAAACATGCACCATTATTGCCAATTTTCCACCTGTATGTTGCAACTTTATTTTGCTTTGTAATAATTTGCATATAAGACCTCTTGAAACCATCAATGATAATGTGATTTGTAAAGATATGCTTTACTTTCAATGGATGTTGCTGTTTGGATAAGAACATTTTTTCCATTGATTGCTTATATGAATACAAAAAATCGTTTTAAAGCATTCCTAATTGAATTTTATATACAGTATTAACGTTGTCAGAACCCTAAAATACACATTAAAGTTGTAATCATACGTTCGTTTAATTATACATTGCATGCTTTCTTCTTGCCATTTGTATATGTTTGTTATATACTATGTTTTGTTTCTATTGTCACAAATCATATCAGTTGGTTTATATGACAATGAAGTTTTGAATTGGATTGTTATGCAGCGAATCTAAGCGGAAATCCAATGACATTATAATATCCTGTCCATGAAAAAAATGCAGAAGGAAACTAGCACTTTTTTATTACACATTTTTTTCATAATGTTTGCCTTTGTTCAGTGTCCCTGTGTTCTGCAGTCCTTAAACTTCGATGTTTTTGCTAAATTTAAAAATCAAAAACAACAGCATCAGTAATTGTGAATAATGGAAAGTATTCTGCACCGCAAGCAACATAATCACATGTAATCAAAAATCTATTACATTTAGATGGCAGATGTTTCATACCGGCAGCCTATCATGGCGACTGGTATTCTCAAGAGAGTGGTGCAGATGTCAGAACAAACATAGACGTCAATTTATGGAGCAGAATCTCAACACCACAAGAACGACTAGAATGTATTGATATATACCAACATAAGCAAGAAATCTCACTCATCAAACAACTAAATAGTTCTATGGTCAACAGTACTATGTTAATGTCGGTTGCGTAAGTAAACAGTTGAATAGTAGAATGGTCATCAATACAATGTCATTGTAATGAATGATAATAATGTCATTGTAATGAATAATAGCAATGTCATTGTAATGAATAATAGTAATGTCATTGTAATGAATGATAATAATGTCATTGTAATGGATGATAATAATGTCATTGTAATAAATGATAATAATGTCATTGTAATAAATGATAATAATGTCATTGTAATGAATGATAATAATGTCATTGTAATGGATGATAATAATGTCATTGTAATAAATGATAATAATGTCATTGTAATGGATGATAATAATGTCATTGTAATGGATGATAATAATGTTATTGTAATGAATGATAATAATGTCATTGTAATGAATGATAATAATGTCATTGTAATAAATGATAATAATGTCATTGTAATGAATGATAATAATGTCATTGTTATGAATGATGATAATGTCATACTAATGAATGATAATTATTTTATTGTTTTGAATGATAATGTAATATATGTTGCACAAAAAAAGTTAATTATCTAATAGTTCAAATGCCAATTGAATACTAGTAGTGTTTTGGCATAAGTAGATAATCGAAGAATACACCAATGCACACTGGTTTATGATCGACAATATCATATCTATAATTGGATAGTCCTAGTTTTAACAGTAATTTGTAAATGTTTACAGAATGAGTTTATTTGTTGTTGTTTGTTTGTTGATATGTAACGCCACTTTTAGTTTCATTGGTTTTATCATGGTGGCCAGTTTCATTGGTTGTAGAATCCGGAGTACCTGGAGAGATGCTCGTCAATTAAGATCGGGAGTTGAAAACACTTCGACAAGAATGGGGTTCGAACGAACGTTTTCAAATTTGACAGGCTAATTTGAAGTCGAAGATGAACTACTAGTTTCAAGGTTGAACTTTCCAAAACTGATCTAAGGTAGAACTAACTAAATCTGTTATATGTTAGAACTTCAAGGATATGTTCTACGATAGAACTATCCAAGCTGTTCTATTGCAACTGTCAGAATCTGTTCAGTGGTAAAACTATTCTATGATAGAACTCTCAAAAACTGAAACTGTTTATGGCGTGTTTACACTTAATCCGTTGGATATGGACTAATTGATACTTTAGTCTGAATATTAGTTGTAATAGGCTTTGAACCAGCTTTCAGTTTCAGTAACTGTGATTACTTTTTTTTTCGGTGCTTTGTGTTATTGTTTTTATGTTAGTTTTTTGTTTGTGCTTTGTACCGATCTATTGAATTAAGCCTTAGTGCAACTGATTTTTACAGTTTGTTCTTATGCTGTGCTGTTACACCACTGTCCCACAAACATGTTTAATCTTATTTTATTCTTTATGTGCCTGTTCCAAGTCAAGAGCTTGTGACTCAGTGGTTGTCGCTGGTTCATGTCTGTCATATCTGTTTTTCGTAAATTGTATTGTTATAAATTAGGCCGTTAGTTTTCTCGTTTGAATTATTTCACATTTTTTTTATGTCGGGTCCTTTAATAGCTGACTATACGGTATGGGTTTTCTCAATGTTGAAGGCTGTACTGTGGCCAATTGCTTACATCCACTTTTTTAAACTCTAGTGGATAGTTGTCTCAGTTGCAATCATATAACATCTCCTTTTTTTATAATGCAGAGCATCCAACATCTGTCAGAAACTGTTTTAAAATAGTTAAGAGAACTGTCAGATGTTAAGAGAGGATAGAATTGTTCTCAACTGTAATAACACTCTTCGTTTTGATATGAACAAGAAAACATAACTATATTGAATGACATTTGTTTTATGAACTCCGTAGTAATGTGAAAATGACGTGTTTTTTTTTATTTTTGAATTTCAGAGGAGACACAAACAGAAATAGATGTTTTTTCTGTGTAGATGTGTTATTCCGGACAGTTAACATCATACAGTACAGACGACGTGAGTAATCATTTATCAAATTCTTTCTGTGCGTATGAATAGTGAGAGCGATGCAGAGGTATGCATTTGTAACACGGGTAGCTATCCAAAAAGATATACGGCTTTCTGAAACGAAAGCATTCATCCTATAATAGCAACTTCTTATCGTAATTTGACAAGTTCTAAGTCATTTAACAGTTATAGCCATATCTGACAATTTACTGAAAGGAGAGACACCGATAACCATAGACAATGTTACTGACTTTGGCCATGCGTACTAATAAAGCCATTTTTATGAATACCTATTCCTCCAGGTTGCCTTGACAAGCCAATAGTACAAACATTACAAAGCAATGCATTTAATTTAATTGTATAAGTATTTGAGACGGAATCAACATGGCGACACGTAAAATACATTTCTTTTATATTACCGCACCTTAAAAAATACGCAATACCTCAGAAACGATTTCCTGCAACATCATCTTATTAAGTAAAATAATGCAGTAGAGCTCAATTATATCACTGTAACTAAATTGCTAACATAAAGTCTTTTTGCATATAAAACTTTAAATATCATATCATTATCAACACACCACAAAAATACACGATTCAACAATCATTACAAGGGATTGCCTAGTTTGAAATACTTGTTGTGTCGGAACTAAATGTCATCAAGTAAACATAAACTGTCACACACCGATGCTTATAGCACTGATAAACTTTTGTACGGGTTCGACCAATCTTGAAGAAAGTATGTTTTAAAGTCTTATACGCTACTGCAAACACGGAATATCAAACACGTGTGACATGTAATGTCACCAAAGAAAGGGAAAAATACACTCAGGGTTCACTCAGCATACTTACAACAGCTATTTTATCAGACGACATGAAATTTAAGTATTCTACGAAATTGCACATAAGCTCTAAGATCTGAAAGAAAAATCAAGAGGTCCGGGTACACAGTTATCGTCCTTTGATTTTCGTTGTCCACGAATATAGTCCCTAGTGTGGACAGTGTGTTACTTGTCGATTTTTTTTATACCCCTTCCGAATTTATTTCTCCATGTTTTATGACTCAAATAGTAAGTAGGGGGGTGAAATGACACTGTAAAAAAATTTGGGTCATGAATTTTAAAGTAAAGTAGTGATTTGGTCCAGCTGAAAAATGTTAAAAATTAGCACTTCGGAGGCTGTCAAAAGATTTGAAGACCCCCTCAGCATGAAATTGTCCATATTTTGAGTTAGAGCCGATGAAGTTTTCTATAATTTTGATATAATTTGTCCCAAAAGTAGTACAACACACTGTAAAAATATTATTGAGAAAGCGCAGGTGGGATTTTTTTAATTTTCATTTATTGTCTAAAAGAAATGCACTACGAAATAACTGTGTACTCGGACCTAAGAGGTGAAATCAGGAAATATAGAATCTGTACTTTGGCAACTTCCCTGAATGATTTGATGGTGTCAATTTATCAAATAGCATAAAACTAAAGGATTAAAACTTTTATTTGATAGAATTTCTGCAAAAATGACCAATTTTGGCATTTTATTGTCAAAATAAGCATTTCATAGCTTTTTCAATTTTGATGCATAAGTGGCATTCTGACTTTCTATCTGACAGGTTTTTATGTGTCAATATTTGTGTTTCTATGCTTCAACCCAGTTGTATTACTCATTTGTGAACTCTGAATCTACAGAAAAGAAGATTATCTCAGACAATATGTTCAAAATGTGTTGTATATATGGTCCTCGTCTAACGCCCTGTTTGGATCGAGTTAAATGTGAGGAGCTTGGAACATAAAAGTTGAAGTCCATTATAAAGACCTCACTAAATTTGTATAAAAAGCACTTAACAATGTCTTTTGTACCTGTTTTATGTCACATAATATCTTTCTTTTCTTCTGTAGGATAGCAAGTGGTTCAAATATAAGCCTGTTGAGACTAAAATTGCATGCATGTTTTTCACTAAAAAGTGAAAAATCTTTGTATCAGACCATACTGTTTGCAAAAAAAGTTGAATGCAAGAGTCTTTTTGTGCTCAGATTTATTGTATCATGTCACCTGAGTATAGAAATGATAGAAAAGACACAAAATTTTATTTCATATAGCTTCAATATGCATTTTTAAATGTAAATATGTGATACGGCCTAAATTGACCCTAAATTATTTTCAGTCTTACTTGGCCTAAGACCCTTTTAAACTAATGTGATATGTTATTTGTAAGTTTTCTTTCCATTTAAAGTACATTAAATACATATGTAAGGATTATTTATAACCAAAAAGCTTTACAAATTTAAAATTGCTGGAAAATATTACATCTTCATGTAAGGCCCCCCTTCATTGGAAAACCTCCATTTTTAGCCACAGGCTCATATAAATTTGACTTTTTAATAATTATGATAAGTCTGATAAATCAAATGAGTACTCTATTGCTTTTAATACATAATATATTATATATTAAGGCATTTCAAAAGTATTTTTTTGCAATATTTAAATTTTTTAAGCCCCAAATGTTGATAGTTGAAAATTTTCAATTTTAACATCTAAATTTAACACTCAAAGTTGAATATAGAAGTAGTCATATTGTCTATAATATATATCCTATTGCCATGAAACTTTGTAAGCAGTCTTATAATTTAATAAGCTTTGGTCATACCAAGTTTCATTAAGATTGGTCAACTTTTTCTACCCTATTAGGTCCGGGTACACAGTTATCGTCCTTTGATTTTCGTTGTCCACGAATATAGTCCCTAGTGTGGACAGTGTGTTACTTGTCGATTTTTTTTATACCCCTTCCGAATTTATTTCTCCATGTTTTATGACTCAAATAGTAAGTAGGGGGGTGAAATGACACTGTAAAAAAATTTGGGTCATGAATTTTAAAGTAAAGTAGTGATTTGGTCCAGCTGAAAAATGTTAAAAATTAGCACTTCGGAGGCTGTCAAAAGATTTGAAGACCCCCTCAGCATGAAATTGTCCATATTTTGAGTTAGAGCCGATGAAGTTTTCTATAATTTTGATATAATTTGTCCCAAAAGTAGTACAACACACTGTAAAAATATTATTGAGAAAGCGCAGGTGGGATTTTTTTAATTTTCATTTATTGTCTAAAAGAAATGCACTACGAAATAACTGTGTACTCGGACCTAAGAGGTGAAATCAGGAAATATAGAATCTGTACTTTGGCAACTTCCCTGAATGATTTGATGGTGTCAATTTATCAAATAGCATAAAACTAAAGGATTAAAACTTTTATTTGATAGAATTTCTGCAAAAATGACCAATTTTGGCATTTTATTGTCAAAATAAGCATTTCATAGCTTTTTCAATTTTGATGCATAAGTGGCATTCTGACTTTCTATCTGACAGGTTTTTATGTGTCAATATTTGTGTTTCTATGCTTCAACCCAGTTGTATTACTCATTTGTGAACTCTGAATCTACAGAAAAGAAGATTATCTCAGACAATATGTTCAAAATGTGTTGTATATATGGTCCTCGTCTAACGCCCTGTTTGGATCGAGTTAAATGTGAGGAGCTTGGAACATAAAAGTTGAAGTCCATTATAAAGACCTCACTAAATTTGTATAAAAAGCACTTAACAATGTCTTTTGTACCTGTTTTATGTCACATAATATCTTTCTTTTCTTCTGTAGGATAGCAAGTGGTTCAAATATAAGCCTGTTGAGACTAAAATTGCATGCATGTTTTTCACTAAAAAGTGAAAAATCTTTGTATCAGACCATACTGTTTGCAAAAAAAGTTGAATGCAAGAGTCTTTTTGTGCTCAGATTTATTGTATCATGTCACCTGAGTATAGAAATGATAGAAAAGACACAAAATTTTATTTCATATAGCTTCAATATGCATTTTTAAATGTAAATATGTGATACGGCCTAAATTGACCCTAAATTATTTTCAGTCTTACTTGGCCTAAGACCCTTTTAAACTAATGTGATATGTTATTTGTAAGTTTTCTTTCCATTTAAAGTACATTAAATACATATGTAAGGATTATTTATAACCAAAAAGCTTTACAAATTTAAAATTGCTGGAAAATATTACATCTTCATGTAAGGCCCCCCTTCATTGGAAAACCTCCATTTTTAGCCACAGGCTCATATAAATTTGACTTTTTAATAATTATGATAAGTCTGATAAATCAAATGAGTACTCTATTGCTTTTAATACATAATATATTATATATTAAGGCATTTCAAAAGTATTTTTTTGCAATATTTAAATTTTTTAAGCCCCAAATGTTGATAGTTGAAAATTTTCAATTTTAACATCTAAATTTAACACTCAAAGTTGAATATAGAAGTAGTCATATTGTCTATAATATATATCCTATTGCCATGAAACTTTGTAAGCAGTCTTATAATTTAATAAGCTTTGGTCATACCAAGTTTCATTAAGATTGGTCAACTTTTTCTACCCTATTAGGTCCGGGTACACAGTTATCGTCCTTTGATTTTCGTTGTCCACGAATATAGTCCCTAGTGTGGACAGTGTGTTACTTGTCGATTTTTTTTATACCCCTTCCGAATTTATTTCTCCATGTTTTATGACTCAAATAGTAAGTAGGGGGGTGAAATGACACTGTAAAAAAATTTGGGTCATGAATTTTAAAGTAAAGTAGTGATTTGGTCCAGCTGAAAAATGTTAAAAATTAGCACTTCGGAGGCTGTCAAAAGATTTGAAGACCCCCTCAGCATGAAATTGTCCATATTTTGAGTTAGAGCCGATGAAGTTTTCTATAATTTTGATATAATTTGTCCCAAAAGTAGTACAACACACTGTAAAAATATTATTGAGAAAGCGCAGGTGGGATTTTTTTAATTTTCATTTATTGTCTAAAAGAAATGCACTACGAAATAACTGTGTACTCGGACCTAAGAGGTGAAATCAGGAAATATAGAATCTGTACTTTGGCAACTTCCCTGAATGATTTGATGGTGTCAATTTATCAAATAGCATAAAACTAAAGGATTAAAACTTTTATTTGATAGAATTTCTGCA